GTCCAGCCAAAATGAAATGAAATGGTATAATGTGAATTTTTGCAGATAATACAGTTCTGAGCAGTGGTGTACTAACCCATTTAATAACCAAAGTGAATCGATTATGAATCTCACCGAAACAGAAGCAATCATAAAGAGCAGTAAAGGGATGGTAAACTGAATTTTTGAGGTCCTTGAACCTTTGTAAAGAAACAAAATACAGGAAGACCAAGAATGTGCCAATCAAAGACAACCTTTACTATTACAAGTTGAAGAGAAGGTATGAGATCAGCTTAGATACTGCTTGTGAAGGTCTACTGCTCCCTCAGATTGGTGCCTTCTTGTGCAGTGCTGGGTGAATTTTTCATAAATTAGTCCAGATAGAGCTGTACTTTTGGGGTCAACTTTCTTTAACTGACCTCTTAATTTGTGGGAAATATAACTGATGAAATGGTTTGAATACTTGTTTCCTTTGATCTATCTCGGATGTGGAGATTATTTATGTGATGACAAGATTTAAGGTGTAAATAGTTGCTTGTTGAGCTCAGAATTATGGCTTGATGGCTTCATTGCTGATGTCAACTGCTTCAATGGTCTGATGTATCCTTCTCCACCTAAAATTATGATCTTTGGTGAAGGAAGACAGGTTTCTCTTTTCCATGGGCCACTTTCATTATACACCTTAAGAAGTGCTATAGAGAGATACCCACATTTTCTCCTGGAATCCTCACTCACAATTGCCTTGCACATCATCCTTTTCCTGCTAGCCTGTTCCTTTAGAAAGACTAGACACTGATTGTAATGACCAAGGTATAAGTTTTCTTAATATAATCATGATGTAGTCCTGCCTTCTTGAGTTACATGCACATTATCTTGATTTGATTTTGGCTCTCCTGAGGCAATGGCCTCATGGAGGATTTTAGACCAGCACTTAAATTTAGATTCTTCTAATTTGTTTTTCAAAGGGTAAGCTTAACTTCAACGTGAAATTTATGATAGACTTTGTACCATAAGAAACACTTTAATTTGTCATAATTAAAATGACACTGTAATGATAGGGGCACTATAACAGCCTGGTCTCTGGACCTTGCATAGTGCTGAATGATTTGTAAGTATTTACCTTTTTTAAAATCTCTCATGAGTATATCATTTCTACTTCTAGATGAGGAAGCTAAGGCACCCAGAAGTTGAGCGACTTGTTAGGGTTTCTTCTCTTAGTAGCAAAATTAGATTGAAATTTAATTGATAATTCCAAAGCTGATGCTATTAACTCTTTCTTCATTATAGCTCTCTGGGACTATTTCCCAGGAGATGTGTATTCAGTGTGGAAGAAATAGAATACTGCCGCTACTCATGACGATAATAAATATAGTTTCAGCTCCTATTTTATATCAGGTACTTGACATTAATTTTTGTGAATCCTTATTGCATTCCTGTAATGTAGGGATTTTAAAAAGTTGTAGATGAGATAAGATTGAAGACATCAACTAAAGTTTCAGGTTTTATAATAGGGAACTAATTTCTCTGACTCCAAACCAAAGCTCATGCATTTATGAATAGAAGTTTGTGGCACCTTGGAGATTAGCAAGTCACCCTATGCAGGGGCCTAACCTATATGGCCAAGTAAAGGAATTGGGAGATTAAAGAGACAAATGAAAATATTCTGAATATTTTAAAAGCATAACCATATAATTAATTAACAGATAGACAATTAGAAACTTGTAATTGTTAAGAAAAAATTCTTGAGTGGGGACAAGAGAGAATAGAATTTTCTCTTTTCTAGTGGGCTGATGTTACATAATGAAAAAAAATATGGTAGAGCCAAAGAATTTTACATTTATTTACAGCAGTGCAGATCATTCATAGATTTTTCTTTTTAGATAGGTAGCTTAGATGGGATAATTGTTCTCAGATGTGACAGTGCCTTAAATCTCTATAGCTTAAAAAATTTCAGTATGTGGTGTTTTTTAATTTAAAGCCTAGGAGAGGTGTTCTGTTCTATTACCTACGACATATTTACAAATGTGATAGCCCTAATGAGGATGCGTAAAATTTTGGTGGCCAGGAATTACCCTTGTCTTTTTAACTTTCTGGTGAGTGTATGCTTGGCAACAACAAAGCCAAAAGTGGTCTTTGTTCATTTGGCTTTCATTCAGAAACTATTTTACATCACAATAAATCACCAGTCTCTTTAGATCCCTGGTGATCAAAGTATTCAATTACAGAATGTGATAAAATCATGAATGTCCTGATAGTTACTTTATGTATATCCTCTTCTCTTCAACAGTGAGCCTTTTAAAAAATTGGGCTCATTCAGAAAATGGAGTCTTTATTTTTCAGTGTATAGACAGGTATATTTGAACAATGGCAAAAAAGCAATGTGCAAAAGAAAAGTATCTTCTTCCGTCCCTTCCTATTCTTTTTGCCCAGTTTTAATGGAATTCCAAGTATAGCTGAATGTGTCTCTTGGGAGTGAGAGCCACATTTGATTAAGGTAGTCATATGAAGAATAGCTGGGTAAGTTTTGGGAATACACATGTAGGAGTGGTTTTATAGTTAAGCTTTTCATGCAGTAATTTTACCATCTAATCTACAGAATCATAGATTTATAATTGGCAAAGACCTGCTACTGTGATATTAGAAGTAAGTAATATCTCAACTGTGGAAAAATTTCTTGTTCACTGTCTTTCACAGACAGGTGGATGTGGAACTTCCACTTGAGATCTTCCAAGGGGTTCACCAGGCTGGAAGTATTAACATCATACAAGGGCAAGGGCTGTGGGGATTTTGCTTCCCACCCTTATCCAGTATGTAGCACTGTGCCTCAGTTGCCCAGCTCGGTTTTAGTGTCTGTTTAATTATTGGGGAGTGCCTCTTACTGACATTTCTTCAAGTCTTGGAGTCAAAAGCATCCAAAATTAAAATCCCATTTCTGCCACTTACTGTGTGACTTTGGGCAAATTCCTAAGCCTTCTGGTTTTAATTTATTTGCGTGTGATAGATGAAGATAATACTTAACTAGTGAGTTTGTGCATTGTGTTCTGAGATTTGTTTATAAAATTGCTTAAAGGATTAATCATAATGTCTATAAAGAATGTGACACATAGTAGGCATTTTACGTGACTTATTCCCCTTGGCCTTTGGTTCAGCATGTAGTATTTATCCTGAGTTTCGAACCCCAGTGGTAATCTGTCTATTACAGAGAGAAATAGAGCTATGGCTGTAGGTGCACAGGATTGCATATGAGTTCTTTTTAAGGAGGTGAGAGAGAGATGAACGACTGAGTAGGAAACAGGAATAAGTGGTATATCTACTCCACTAAAGCAATGACGGCCTAATGGTTTTTGAAGAGCAAGATCATTAGATTTTCTGGAGGCATGAAGAGAGAAGGGAAATAGAATCTGATGTCAGAATTTATTAGCATCAACTAAGGCTTCTAACCCAAAACAACTAGTGAAAAGTGAAAACTCAGTTATGCTATTGTTTGGTCTACATTAAAACAGTCAGTTGGAGTGATTCCCTGTTAGACTTGATGTTTGATTTTTTCCAACTTTGTTTAGAAATGGTCTAAATAATTAACTTTTTGAAAGTGACTGCAACTATTTGTAATTCCTATTTAAAATCTAATCATTATGTGTTAGTAAAATATTCAAAAGCCTAGGAGGGTGAAATTTTCCTTTCCGTGAGTTTTGTAAGATATTGGCAATGTCAAAAGAAAAAGTTGGCTTTTTATCCATCATCCTTTCCCATTTCAGAATGTGTTCACTTTGTACGAGAAGGCTCCCCAAATATTACCTTGTTAGAACATACATTTTGGAAAGCACATTGTTGATTTTTAGGTAACTTCTAAAATGTTACTGTTCTTTTACTAAAAACCTGTTAATGGGGGGTGAATGACTTCAACAAAGTGGGCTAGGCAAACTCTGAAGATGGCACTTCCCTGGCAGCATTATTATTTAACTTAGAAACTATCTCCTCATTTAGAAAAAGAAATCTAAAACTAGGGGATGAGGTGAGTGTTCTGTGGTAGTCTAACTTAGCTGTTTGTTAGGGGCTCAATAAGTCATCACCATATTAGAGTGGGTTGCTTTGATAAATCTAGGATATGAATCTGGATGTTTTTATTTTACATCCCAAAGGGAATTTGCCAAAGATCATCTGTTTTCCACAAACTGTCTGCTATCAGTTTTCTTTTTTTTCTTTGTATATATTTTACATCATTGTTCATTTTTAAACAGCATTTGCTGTCCCCTCCCCCGACCCCCTCCCTGTCTCTGGTGTAGTCCCATAGAATTTCCTTTACCAGTACACCTGTGCACCATCACCACAGTGCTCCTTCCTCCCTCCCTCTGATCCCTCCCCCTCTTCCTCCCCTGCAGGATGTCTCTGGTTTATAATTGTTTATCAGTATTATTTTAAATGAAAAATTTTCTTCTTGCTTTATTTATATTTGGTGTGTTTTGGGTACTAAATGTACATCAGACACTGATGAATTGGCAGCTACATATGGCTGGGTGGTGATAATAATTCATAAGGCTGAGAACTGTTTTTCAGCTGTGGTGGTTAGTCAAGAAAGTATATGTGTGTCACCCCTGCCAACACCTGACCCTGAGCATTGTGAAAACCTGCTGGTGTTATGTCCCATTCTTCAAGTCTTTTTATTCTTTCCTTTGACTCTTTTTGAGCAAATGACTGCAAGTTCAGGGAAATAACTTCATATGATGTAAATTTTGAGAGATAAATTATTTTTTAATAAGCAATCTAATAAGTAAGAGTGAGCTTAACTACTTTAAAGTGTTTATTTGAAAGGGTAACTTGTCAAATAGATTATTCCCTTAGGGCAAAAAAAAGTAAATATATTTTAAAAGATTCCATTAGGAATATTAATCCAATTTTTTTCAAATATGAATAAAGGTTGATTTTAAGTGATATATTTTTAACTATTTTGAATGTTATTTCTTCTCTACCATGGCTTTACAAATAGTTTTTAGATATATGATATATGTTGTTTATTTTTATAGTTAAAACAGAGCCAATGAGCAGCAGTGAAATAGTTTCAACAACAGCAGACGGGTCTTTAGACAATTTCTCAGGTTCAGGTAAGGAATAAATATGAGATTTTCACATTAATTCCAAAACATTTTTCCTAGTTTACATATGTGTGTGTTTATATGTGCATATGCATTTGTATATGTTTATGTGTGTGAACATTCATGTATGTTTAAGTATATATTATATAAGATAGAGAATATATAGCACATATATGCAATTCTTATGTTTTTATTCAGTTTCATGAAGTTTTTGCTGAAAATGTTGGTATTTTTATAAAGGAAATAAAATCAAAGTGATTTTGTTCTCCTTCTAAGTTTTGTTTATTGACTCCCTGTCCCCTTAATTTATATGATTTTTCTAATAATGCAAATCTTGGTAGGCAAAATTTGGCTTCTGACAGCTCCTGAGCAGACTTACCAAGCTATTAAATTGCCATGTCAACTGTAAATCTAAATTAACCAGACTTGGTAAATCATTAACCCCTTATGTTACTTTTTAATATCTTTCATATTAATAAAATTTGCCTCTAACAAACAAAATATCCAATTTCACATCTATGATAATTAAGTTACTAATAAGAAAGTGACTGTGATAATAAAGAAACTGTGAAGATGTGATTATGTGTTTGCCAACTTGGACTATATATATTAAAAATTACTTGTATCGGAAGTAATTCTTAAACTTTTGACCCTTTTCATGTCATCTTCTATGTTTAAAAAAATCTCTCGCGTATAGCCTGTGCTTTCATAAATTTGTGATTGATTTAACCCAATTCTCAGGATTATTTAATACATGCCACAATTAAAATAATGCAAATAAACAACTTTTAGATTAATAATACCAGTTGGAAGCAATAAGAAAATCACAAGGATTATTATACCCATTCGTTCTTTCATAAGACTTTCATTACAATTTGCCTTATGCCAAGCAATATGCTTGGTGCTATCATGGGCTTATTGCTGTATGAGAATGAACTTGGTTTGGGGTTTAATGGGGTGAATTAGTGACCAGACCAGAATAGTTTGATAATGAGAGAATGAAACCCAGGGAGCACAAGAATATCCAGGAAGGGACCCAAAATAGATGGGATTGGGTGGGGTGACCAAGCTGATTTCTGAGGCATATGCCTGCACTCTGCCTTTAGATATGAGTAGTAACAAAGCACATATAGAACTGAGGAAAGGGAAGGTGGGCAGATGAAGCACTCCATGGGAGGAGACCAAGGCACAGAGACTCAGAACTTGGAGAAACTGTTAATGGTTCAGCATTCTTGATGTGTATTGTATGAGCTGTGAAGGCATGCTGGAGAAGAAGTAAGGATCAGGCTACAAAGAGGCATGTATGTTATGTGTGGCTTTTTATTTTATCCTGCGTGCAGTAGGAGGCATCAGAGGAAGGGGATTGCGTGATCATATTCATGATACAGAGTCAAATTTGTAGCAGGATGAGAGACACTGGTGAACTAATTGATAGACCAGTCATTGATTTTTGGCATTACTTTTGGCAAGAATTATTAAAAATCTGACATCAGGTTATGCCTGATGTATAAAGGGTGTATAAAGGTGATGGATTAAGATGTATTTATGAAGGGGCCTCCACTGGTGGCTCAGTGGTTGAGCGCTGGGCTGCGAGGCCCGCAGCCTCTGCAGTGCCGGTTCGGTTCGTTCCCCGGCCGCCAGCGAGGGTCCCACCAAAAAAAAAAAAAAAAAGATGTATTTATGAAGTAAAATTTATTATCATCACTGATGAATGATTATAGGAGGCAGGTAAGGTATAGAGAAGTTAAGAGTGAGGGAATGTGAGGGGAGTATGGTTGAGAAAAATGGTAGATTTAGTTTTGGGCATGTTAGATTGTGAGACTACATCTACCCAAAGATATCAAAACTCAGGAAAAATCTGGAATAGAAATTTTGAAAGTGTACGGGCAGTTAAAGCTTGTGGGATATAACATTAAAGACATGAAAAATCAATATATAAGAGATGCTCAGAGTATAAAATGAAAACAAGACAGTGTTGAATGGGAAGTGAAAACAGGCAAGAATTTCAAGGAAGTACTTGTTTACATGATTAATTCACGTACAGCTATCCAAATATATGTAGATTTAAAAACAATGACATTAGAAAATGTAAAATATATTAAGTAAAAGGCAGATTAAAAACAGTATGTTACCATAATCACAGTTTTTGCTTTCATTAAAAAACATGCATGTGTGTGTGTGTGTGTGTGTGTAAATAAATTAATGGTAGCTCTGTCTGGATGGTGGAATATAAATAATTTAAGTTTTCTTTCTTTGCTTTTTCCCCAAATATTTTTACAATGTACATATGCAATATTTATACTTTTAAAGGTATTATTCTAAAATGTAAGTTAAAAATCATTCTTCCAAGTAATACACATTTTTTTAAAATACCTATGAGTAATGGTATTGCATCACTGTTTTTCCTGCTATTATAACTGTACTATGGCAAAAGAATTCCTTATTTTTAAGGAATTTTAGTGTAGGGACACCTGATCTGCAGTTAAAAGGAAATCAAATACGCATGTACACCCAGAGAGAAAGAGAACAGAGGATAAAGCTAATTTAATAAAATGTTAGTTTTTAGAGAATTTGGGTGAAGGATATTGCAGAAGGTTTTCTACTATTCTTGCAATTATTTTGTCAAGTGCCAAATTGTGTCAAAATAAAAAAAATTAAAAATTAGAAGCGTTAATGGATTTACCCTAAGCAGTTTCAGCTGGACTAGTAGGCTTTACTTCCAGTTGTCTCCATTGAACCACATGCCCTGTTTCTATGTCTTCAACATAGTTTCCAGTAGATAGTGTGTGCTTATAAAGCTTACTGAATGGAAGGATGATTTAATGAAGAAGGGAAGACAGGGAAGAGAAAACTGTCTTTCAGGCACATACATGATCAAGGGTGAAGAAGAGAAGGGTGTAATACACTAAAAAGAGTAATACAGAGTTGAGGATGGCATTAGGTCTGGTGGTTTTTGCTACCAACTTTATAGAGTCAGAGGTAAAAAGTATAGGCAAAATAGAAGGATAATCTATGAAAGGAGGTCCCTGGTAGGACAGCAGTGGCTTAATCCCAGAGATGGATTAGCCTACAAAAGGAATAACTTTTTCGCAGAAACATTGGGGAACATGGCATGGAAAGTAATGCTGATAAGATTGGCGTAGGGGAAGAGGAAGTACATTGAAGGAAATCCTGCCTGATTCCCCTGTTCACAGTTTTCAGTGGCTCTGCTCACATCTGAGTAAAAACCAGGTTTATAGCCTGCAAGGTCCACCGGACCTTGTTGCCTGTTTTCCTTGCTTCCTCCTATTTTTCCCACGTTGTCAAACTTGCCCCAGTCGGTACCTTTGTGTAGTAGCCCCTCTGCCTGAAACACTTACCTGCAAGCTTGCCTGAGTCCCTCATCACCTATTCAAGTCTGTGCTCAAATCTTACCCTCCCAGTGAGGCACATCCTGATCCCCACTCAGTGTTGCCAAACTCTCATTGCTAATCTCTCTAACAAGCTAAACCTTGCCTTCCCCGCAAAAACACATTGGGCCTTTGCAAGCCAGGTTGTTTACTTATGTTTTAGGTTTCTGTTGGTCTCTCACCCTCACCAAAATATATGCTTGAGGTTTGTCTTTCTTTGTTCACTTATATTCCTGACACCTAAAACAGTACCTGACACATATTAGACACACTGATATTTGCCAGACTGATTAATGAATACAAGAATAAGTGATTGCTAACTTCAACATTTTCCTTGGAAGTGACTCAGAATTAAAGTAATGACAGGCATATGGGCTTGAAAAAATAGAGAAGATTGAAGTAAATGCCACAAGGAATGGGGAAGCATGATGCTGCTTAGAAACTAAAAGGAGAATAGATAAGAGCTGAAGGTCCAGACAAAGGCATGGCTTTATGAACACCAAGACTTTAGTATAGAATTATTTTTCTCTGGAAGGATTAGCAGCCCATCTTGATCTAGGCTTGGGAATTTTCAAGGATAAACAGGAAGAACATGGAGGGAAGAAAATTGAAGTTCCCAGTTAAAGGATGGTTTAAAATAATTATTCATGTATTCAGAACAGGTAGAAAATGAAAGTAAGAGAAAATCAATTGAGAGAAGATAAAAATGTGTCTCTTATTGAGGGGAACAGGTGTGATGGAAATAAAGGAATGAAAATTCTGGCCTCCACCACATGGTTCTATAGTTGGTTCTCTGTACTTCCTTCCCTCAGCCTTCATTATTACTGTTAAAATTAATTTTCGTTGTCTTTCCTTGTTGTCTTTCCTCCTGTAGCTCTGTGAAACAGAAAATCTGTTTGTCTTGTTCACACTTATGTTCCCAGTGGCCATCATGGATTAAGCACATGGGCAATGGTCAGTAAATGCTTCTTAAGTAAACAAATGACTCAGTCAATGCTGTTGTGGTTTGAGACTATGTAATAGGTTAGAAAAAGTCCAGGATGTGGTCTTGAGGTTATTGTTGAAGTAGGAGACCGGAGCAAGCTCATAGACAATGAGAAAGCATTAGATATATAACCCAAATAATTTTGAGAGTTGTCAGGGATCACAGTCAAATACCAAAGCTTTGGATAATGCAAGACCATATTTAGGAGATGGGTCATTCGTGGAAGTATTAGGGTTGTCATGAAGCTCAGAGAAGGAAGGGTCTTATGGGAGAATAGAAAATCAATGGTTGTGGAAGAAGCAGCAATGAGAGGCAGATTCTGAGATCTTTTTGATATCTAGAATGTCAGAGTATGAGCAGCCTCTACTTTAAAATGATATGCTGGAGAAGTAAGGGGCTCAGAGAGAGCTTAATTGAAGGTAGAGGGATAGTTTGTTGAAGAGACTGAAGTTATAGAGGATCTTATTTTCTACAGGTTGATTCCATAGGCTAATGGACAGAGAAGGAAAAGATCAAGTGAGTTGGGGAATTGGGTCAAGGCATAGAAAGCACAGAATACCACGTCTGAATGGACCTTTATTATTGTTCTTTATGCTTCGTTCTTCTTTTATCATCCTCCTTGTTATACCTTCGTG